ATAAAATTATAAGATATAAACGTAATATCATAAAATAACTTTATTCAAAATATTCCCTCGTCGCGAGAATTAATAGCATTACAGAAGATTTAACGAGAGAATTTCTCTTACAGTTATTATAATCTTATTCACACAGGATGTTTCAGAATCCCGTTTTGTAAACTTCAATTTTAATTTATAGATTCTTCAATAAATTTGCATTTTTCCTCTCTCATTCCCCACCCGAAGAACTTCCGAGAAAATCGTCATCTTTCGCCGCAACTGTATAATATTCAATACTATTCTCATTATAATTAAACGTTGAATCCAAACTTCGGGAAAGTAAAGTCAATTTAAATGAATAATGAAGTTTCGTTATATTTAATTTAACGCTCCCAGAAGTTTCATTCGCATCTTCATTTACAATCGTTTATATTTTAGAAACTATTCACAGGTTGCTTCGACATTTTAATTAAGACGCAATCAATTCTGATTAACAAAGAAATAAAGCTTTGTATTCAAAGCTATACGATTTTAACTTATTAATGATTTTTCTCATAGCTGCAATTTTATCAGGATTTATGGCTCTCACACAAAAAAAGTTGGTAAAAACAACTCTGGTTAAATAAATTATGTCGAAAACAGAGTCTCACAATTTCGTGGCCCCGTAAATAAACATATATTGTTATTCCGTGTAAAACTAAAAATTGATGCCTGATCAGGTAGTCTGCAAATCACTAATAAAAAAAAATTCGATGAAAAAACTAATATGAGACAAAATTAATATTTTATATTCCTTCTCTCTCATTTTTATTATATCATATTGATAGTATTTTACGCCTACTGTGTAAACGTTCACTTTCATGTTACGTTCGTTGTTGAAACTTCCTCAGATATGAGTGCGATTAACAGTAACTGATAAATTGTATTCAATATGTTCTTCCTACGATGTGCACATCAGAATTTAAAATTCTATTATATGCGCGTTAGAATTTCAAATGCCGAGATATAAACCCGTTAGAATTTAAAATTGCAGCGTCAACGCACTTTGATCTTCCGGTGTACTTTAGTTTTTCGGCATTGAAGAATACATAAATGTACAAAAAGTATATCAAATATATAAAATATATAAAAAATGTATGAACAACGGGAATAACAGTTTTGTTTATGTTTATTTACAGATGCATTAAGCGTGTAAAAGACGCGCTACAAAAATACATCTTTAAAATCATCGATCGCACGGGAAAAAGTGCAGGTTGCATTAATTGAAATTCTGATTGAAAATGGACGAATCGGAATTTTCTGGTTGAATCTATAATCTATAGTTTTAGGCTATATTCCAAAATATTCTTTTCGAGGAAAATCATTACTCGATATTTAAAAAATTTTCCTGAGAGGACGTTTTGGAAGTAACTAGTTGAAGTAACATGCAGATTTCTGACTGATGCGATCAGGAATCTTCCGATTCGTTTTCAATCAGAAATTTTTCTCAATGCGTTCATTCACGAATATGTATTTTCGGCCGTGGTCTGGGAAGTCGCGATTCACCGCGCAAATAGTCCTCCCCGGAAGGACGCGACGCCATCTGACGCTTTCTCCGGATCGCGCGTCCTCCCTCCGCGCGAAAAAAAAATGTATGTATATTTGCGTAACGCAGATGATCGTATCCTTCGCGAGGCGTCGGAATGCGGCGGTATTTTATCATCGGACAAAAATAAACAACGCGCGATCTTTTCGCATGACATGTCGTTATTAAACGGACGGATTCCATATTTCTACGCATGGCACGGTCATCGACGCATCAGGTGTCAGTCACCCCGGAGAACGCGAAAGTCTCATATGTGCGCGGCTGGTTTGACGCATGCAAGTACGTACGCACGCACGCACGCACCTTCGTTTCTGTGTAATGTCACGAAACTGCGACGTGACAACTGATCGCGCCACGGATTCGTGATGTCGTGCGATCGTACATACCGTTTGGTGAGCGTCATATATAAATAGAATTCTATGAGCGTTATAAAAAAAATCTTATGGGAGAAAGTTGACGTTAAAAACTGGACATGTAGCCGCGAGAATATTCAATCGCACTACGCTCTACGATGAAGATCGGCGACGCGATCGCGAGAAGAGAAAAGTGAAACGAAGATCGCTACTCACCCGGCGTTCCGTTGACCGTGGCAATTCCACCCGTGACCCGTGTCGTCGTGGCCGTCGTCGTCTTCGTCCCGCGTGTCGCGTGCCTTTCACTAGTTTCGTAATCGACGTAGATTGTAGAAGATGCGGCGTCCTCGCGAATTCTTCTCTCGGCGCCGGCTTTACTTTCTCGGATCACACACGACACGCGCCGAGCGACGTAAGGCGATTGACGGATCGCCGTGAAACGCACGGGCTTACGCGGACACGCACGAATGCGAGGACTGCGAAGCCGAGTACGGAAGGAACTACTCCGAACGCTCCCATCGGTCAGCTGCTACTGGCCGCCCGACCCCGACACTCGTCAGCGTCAGCGCGGCGGGAAAAGGGCGGACGATTGCGAGTTGCGAGTTGCGCTTGCGCGCCGCCTCACGGCGTCGCACGGAAGCTCCAGCGCACCGGCTAGTTCCGTTGGAATCCGTTGGATGGTGCTGCGTTGTACGCCCGCGCTTTTCTTCAAATCATGTCGCAACTTACGATTCTAGAAATAAAATGAACGTTACGGTATTTCCGATCTTTAAATCTTTCCTTCTCACAAGAAACTAATTTAATACTGATTTCTTGTGTAATTATGAAAAATGTATATATATTCATAAATGATCAGATTAAATTTTTCAATTTATGTTAGTATTATAATTTATTCTATTTGTAATATCTATATATATGTATATAATATTTTTATTGTTCTTTTTCTTGTTTAATTGGAATTTTAATTGGAATATTCTTATAAGTCATTGATATTAATTTGAAATACATTTTTACACGTACTTTTTACGTAATTATAACGAAATGTGACAGTATTTTCACTAAAAATAAAATCGACGTTACGGAATACAGTTTCAATATTCAGAAAGAAAAAAAATATAAACAGCATCTCATCACAAAACGTTTTGTAACCATCACCACAAACATCATTTTGACAAAGTTAGCTCCGTCGACGGACGTGACAATTGGAATTAAATATATAGCAAAAAAAGTTAAGGTGTCAGTTATATATAACACGAAGATATCTGAAGGTGCGAAAATGGCAATAAAAGCTCTAATTATAATTGGTATGTACCATGATTCAACATGTATTTTTCATGTGTATTCAATCGGACTCGTAAATATTGCATATATAACTTAATAAAGTTCATTTCTTAAATACAAAATTATAATAAAAAATGTTTTAAAAACATTATATTTATACACTAGAAAGACAAACAATATATCTTATTTAATATCTGTAATAATTAATATGCCTATACAGTATAACAAAGAAAATTTGCTTTATAGCTTTATTTTAGATTCGTGTTTAATAGCTACTTGTAAATATTAAGACAAATCATAAAATATATACATATATCTTTAAGCTTAATTATTATATTTTAAAAATCTAATAATTTTATTGTATCCATTTAGTAAATAAATCAACTCGGATGTACATGAATCTACATATAACTGACTTGAGAGAAAACAAAAATCTTTTATATGACCCGCAATATATTGTAAAATATAACAAGATTTATGACACAGTGACTGCTATAAGTAATCTAGAAATAGTCGATGTAATAATTGCACAACCATTTAAAGATATCATAATGGTAATTATATCTATAATAAATATGTATAATAAATTTAATATACTTGTGTTATTATTAAATATACTTGTCTTAAATTTTATTTTATTATAAAATTGACACAGAAAAGATTACTTTCGATATCTGCAAATAATAAAGCTGATGTCATTTTTATTACTGGTTACATTGACTCCATTGACAGAGAATATATAAATAAAGCGATTAAAGCTATAATTATTAATCCCCAAAAACTTTCTAAAAATCTAGCATTGTCGATAAGCAACATAGAAAAAGATCTGAAGATGATAACGAATTATAGGTAAACTTTTATTTATGTTGTAATCTTGAAATTTACACACAGACATGTACACACAACTCTTATAATTGATTTATTGTCAGAACTGTATGTGGAATACGAAACAAGACGTTAATCATTAATTTGCCCGGCATACACGACAGTATTTGCATTACAGTAATTGCAGATACACTGATAAATACATTGCATTTAATACGCAAGAAAGATGACGAGAACGAGAAAGAGAATAAGCCGCCACTTGTCAATGCACATTTTCTCGATTCTTCCGATAATTTTCCAAAGCAGGTAAAATATTGTCTATATTAAAATTGATAGATATATAAAGCAAATTAAAAGATGATATAGAAAAATGACATGAAAAATTAATCTGTTTGTATAGAGAAAAAATAAAAATACAAATGAAAATTTTTATTGTCCCAAAACTTATGAGAAATCTTCTTCTTCGTCTAGTTCATCTACAGAAGTAAGATACTCTATGCATAATAAAAGTAATAATTTTATAATATTATAAATATATACAATTAAAAATATTTATAGAGTATAGAATATGATAATATAAGCGATCACCATAAGGAATGGACGCCTCTAATTTCTTTAGATGATGCACTAATGATATTGGCTGAAATATCCACAGCAAGTATGAATAAAAACACTGAAACGGTAAAAATAAGTGATGCTTATGGTAGAATATTACGTGAAGATGTTTGTTCGAAATATAACATACCATCATTTAGAACTTCCAAAAAACATGGGTACGCAATGTTGGTATCTGATGGAAAAGGAATTAGACAAGTGTTGAACAATAATGATATAGTAAGATAAATTTGATGCATATATCTATATTTTATGTGTACATATATATTTTTCTTGCATATATATATATATATACATATATGCAACACAAGTTACAATTATTAGAATTAGCTAAAACTAAACAAAACTTGTTCAGTTTCCTCCGATTTCGCTTCAATGTGGAACGTGCGTATGGGTGAAGAGTGGAGCGCCTGTTCCCAATGGTAAATAATTAGAAGTTATAATTACATTGATCCATCATTTATAATAAAGAATCAGTTACCATTTGTGTCCGATTACAGAAGCAACAGCAGTTGTAGAAGAGGAAGGTACAAAACGAATTGAACCTCATCTAGACAAAGTGTATATTGAAATAAAGAATAAACCACAATATGGGCAAAACATTAAGTATAAATTCAATATTTTCAGACAAAATTTTATTTTTATTTATCAAAATAATTATTTTATTTATTTGTATATTTATTTTGAAGTCCTATTGGTTACAACATACCGAAAAATAAAATTATCTTAAAACAATACACACATATTGGCCCAGAAGAGATGGGAGTCTTGGCAGCTTCTGGCTATAAAGAAGTTGTAGTCGCTCAACAGTCGTCTATAGGTGTATTATCCATCGGCAATAACTTAGAAGAACCCGGAAAACCTCTAAAACCAGGATACATCTACGATATTAGCAGAATAATTTTAATTTCACTACTGAAAGATAACAATTTCTCTTCTTCGGATTTTGGAATCGTGAATAATACGTGAGAGCATTGAACATTTTTTACAATTTCAAATATGCAAGCTATTATATTACACTTTAATAGTTTTTTATTTACAAAATTTTGTTCATAATTATATAAATTTAAAAAACAATTAATTTTTTGCAGATCATCATCCATACAAAAGAATATCAAGAATGCTCTAAATAAAGTAGACATACTTGTGACATTAGGCTCTGCTAATGATAAAGATTTATTGAAGAAAATCTTACTAAATTACTTTAAAGCCGAAATATATTTTGGTAAATCTTATTTTTCACATTAATTTCCAAAATAAAAAAACCTTTTGCGTAACTGTATCCATTTCTTTCAGGTAATGTAAATATAAAACCAGGAAAGTCAACCACACTAGCTACATGCAAGATCAATGATAGAATAAAATATTTCTTGTGTTTGTCGGGAAATCCGGTAACTGCTTTCATTGCCGCGCAAGCACTCCTTTTGCCTTTTTTGAGAAAGATGTTTTGCAATGTACACATGGAAACTCCTACATTACCGATTTATGTAAGTTTAGTCTCACATAATATCGTAAAACACAGAAAGATATATCTAATATTATGATGTTCTTATAAAATTGTAGGTAGATCGTCCATTTATCCTACATCATCGTCCTAGAGTTGCGTGTGCACATTTGAACTGGTCTAATGATAATAATGTAGCAACGGCTTGTAGCATGGGTAATCTTTTCAAGGATAAACTATGTAACATCGTAGGTTCAAACGCACTTTTGCTATTACCAGATAATAAGGACAAAGAAAAAACGATAAACGATGAACAAGTACCAGGTTTACTTATTGACTGTCCAGGAAAGTACTTATATCCATTATCTAATATTTTCAATTTAAAAAAGGAATAATACTTTATATTGAAGGAATTATACTTTACCTTCTTAAGTAATTGCAGTATGTTTCATAAAATATATCACATCTTCAGTTTCGCTGAAAAAGCTCACCTTGAACCGTGTAAAGATTCTAAATTTCAAATAGTTTTAAAGTACTGTGATTATCGTTTCCATCAATTTTGATTTTTCATAGTCTTTCATAGCCTTACAACATAGTATTAATTTTAAAATATACATAGCTAGATTATAATAATAATTTTTTATTATAATAGTAATACATCATTTCATTGCATTAGATCAGGCCTAGCTCCAGAGCCAAAATTGTAAGATTTCGGGAACTGTAAAGTGCATGATAATAAAGTTTGATAAGCTCAACTTTACAGTCCTCGAAATTTGATTTTTGTTGCGTCAATGACTTTGCGTTTTGGCTCGATCCAGAGCTAAAATTGGACGAGAATGCATTAGATAGATAGCAATAAAATAGAATTTTCAGATTTAATTAAATTATTTATATTATTTTTGCAAATTTGATTAAATTATTTAATTAAATAATAAAAGTTCTGTTTTACCTATTTTAAATAGTTATTGTTTACTTAATTAAACAGCTAATTAATAATATAACAATTTTTATTGTACAATAATAAACAATAAAAAAAAACGTTAAGTAGATACAACTAGATAATGCAGAATAATTTTAACACTGTTAATTTATACGTGACAATAACCATTTGATTTGGCTTCATTTAAATATGTATTTATTATTTTTTATTTCAATCTTATTTTTTCTTTAAAAAGTATTATTTTATTATACTGTAATTAAATATATATGTGTAATATATACGCTATATATTTATAATATATGTATAATATACACACTATATACAATATAAAATATAAATACATATGCGTAATTATAATATAATATGTTACACATATACAATTTATAATATAACTTATGTTGTAATTTTATAATGTATCATCCGTATATTAAAAATAGTACGGCAAATATTAGTAAATAAAAATGTGAAGAGATATATCAAAATTGAAATAGCAATAGGAATGAAATGAAAAATTAGAATTGTAATTCGTACGTATTCTTCGATATTATATATATATAAATATTATATATATAAGTATTCATTATTTAAAACATGAAAAGATTCGCGGCATATTAAACGTATGTTGAAAACAAAGCTGACATTGTCCAAGTACAATCTTACTATTAAGAAAAGAGAAGAAATGTAAACAATTTGTCACCGAAATATTTCTGTGAACTATTTCGATTAGAACCAGCCCAATCGACGAACGTGGTAGCTGCGACAAAACATAATACGCAAGAAACGATAAAATCCTGCGGTAATTGTCAGTATATATACGATAAAACGATATTAAAAGAGGGTAAAATGGTAATCAACTTTGAAATTATAGCAAGTATGTTCTGTAAATATTCTTCATACATATTATACTATTCTTAAAGAAAACGGTGTGCATATTTAAATAAAGTTCATTTATTTAAATAACAGATTGTAATAAAAATTATATATATATATATACGCTAAATTTAAAAATTAAAAATATTATAGTATATTTTGTGACAGTTTCTTTCACCATTAATAATTCTATTACATAAATGAATACAATTAACTTTTACATATTTTATAATTTTGTCACATTTAACAGAATTTAACAGTTTCTTTGTATATACGTATTAAACAAATTATGATAAAAAATACATTTGATCATCAGACTCAATATTCGTATCCTAATTTTCAAAATTCTAATTCTATTATGATTACTTAATATGTACATAGAATGCAATTAATGTGAGATTATTAAAGTTGTAGACGATAACAGCTTAAATAACAATTATAAATATATTAACATTGGTAATAGTAATGACATTCGAGATGTGCTATCAACTAAGATTACCAGTGCACAAATATCTAACGTGATAGTACTAAACCCAGTTGAAATTGATATAACGGTAACTACAGGTATATTAAAAATCTTCTTCGTGTTATATTGATCATTAAATTTATTTTGTTTACATGATATAGGTAGAATTACTTCTTGCGTGCAATGAGGCTGATGTTATTCTTATTACTGGTAATAATGAGTCTGTTAACAGACAACTTGTAAAAGAAGCAATTAAAAATGTTAGCGATGAGCAAGAAATTTCTAAAAGAGTAACAAGATCGTTATTAAACATAGAAACGAAACTGAACGAGATTATGCCACATAAGTAAATCTTTACTTCTATTTAATTTGAGATTTTTATAATTACAAGTTTTATAATTGTGATTTGTTTTCAGAACTGTATGTGGAATACGAAATCAAACATTAATCGTTGATTTCTCTGGTCCGCACAAAAATACAAAAGATTATTTCGCATCAGTTGTAGATATGATACTGCAGACGCTATTTTTGATACGTATAGACAAAAATCAAAATATTCCGCTACATGACATTGCATCTACTTCCAGCGATAATTCAGCGAAGCAGGTAAAGTATCGTTTGTGTTAGTAATAACATACAATTTTATGATATTATATATACATTAAGGTTTTTAATACAGAAAGAAGACAAAACTGCCGTAAAGCGCTACAGAAAATCTCCTCTGTTTGATTTAGTTCCTGTAAGTTTGCAATTAAAATATTTTCTGTATTAGAGATAAAGTAAAAATTTTATAATACTGTATGTACGATTAAATTTTCTTACAGAAGCACGCGAACAAGATTAAACGCCATAAGGAATCATTTCCTATGATTTCTATAACAAATGCACTGCTCAAGATACGTGAAATAATAAGTGAAAGTAAAAATAAAACTATTTGTGAAACAGTGCAGTTAAATAATGCTTATGGTAGAATATTGTGCGAGAATGTGGAATCTACTTATAATTTTCCACCATTTAATGCATCCACTAAACACGGATACGCAGTACTAGTAACTGATGGAAAATGTTTAAGGAAAGTGCTGCAGCAGAACAAGGAAAATACGGTAAGTTGTATCAGACTCATGTATATACGTATATGTAACAAACTGGAATTACGAAACAAAACTTTTTCAGTTCTCTCCGATGTCGCTTAAACCTGGGACATGCGTGTGGGTAAATAGCGGAGATCCTATTCCCGATGGTAAATAATTATACACATTACTGATACTGATCTATTTGCAATAAAGAATTAATTGTCATTTCTGTCCAATTACAGAAGCAACAGCGGTTATACAAGTGAAAGATGTAAAACCAGTAGAAAAATTTGAAGACAGTGACGATATGTATATTGAGATATTAATTGAACCACAATTCAACGAAAATATTAAGTATGAAATTCAATATTTTCAATAAACGCAACGATACAGATTTTATCTCTTTATAAAACCATTTAATTTATTTGTCTGTTTATCTGTCTTGAAGACCTGTTGGTTACGAATTAACGAAAGGAAAAACTGTCGCAACTCCATATACGCGTATTGGCCCATTGGAGATTGGACTTTTAGCAGCTTCTGGTCGCAAAGAAGTTCTAGTCGTTAAAAATACACCTATAGGTGTGTTATCTATCGGAAATAATTTACAGGAACCTGGAGAAATTTTGATACCAGGATTTGTCTACGATATTAATCGAATTACTCTAATTACATTACTTAAAGAGCAGGGTTATAACTCTTTGGATTTCGGAATTGTGAATAATATGTGAGGATACTTAAAATTTATCCCCAATTTGTATATGCTAATACTCTTTATTTAATTTACTAATTGTAATTAATTTTCATTTTTCCATCTCCATATATAATAATTAATTCAATGAATAATTTACATTTTTTTTAGGATGGCACCTATAAAAAATAAAATCGATGAAGCTTTAAAGAAAGTAGATATACTTGTGACAACAGGCTCGACAAATAACAGAGATTTAATGAAAATTATTTTGGAGGAATATTACAAAGCAGACATACATTTCGGTAATGTCTCTTTTTTTTTATTAATAATTAAATATATCAAAAGAAAAATACATGCCTCCTGCTTAAAACTTAAACGCATTTCTTCAGGAAACATAGATATCAAACCAGGAAAGTCGACGATATTTGCAACGTGCGAGATTGATAACACAAAGAAATATTTCTGGTGTCTATCAGGAAATCCAGTATCCGCTCTCATTACCGCGCGACTATTTTTTTTATCCTTTTTGAACGAGATGTACTTCAACTTTTACTCGGAATACGCTATAATACCAGCTTGTGTAAGATTATCGCAATCTTGTATGTTGTAAAAAAAAATGCGATGTATATTGTTATAATTTTATAACCCCGTAGATGGAATCTGAGTTCGTCTTGCATAGTCGTTCTAGAGCGACATGGACAGTTTTGGGATGGATCCCGGAAAGAAATTGTGCATTAGTTTGTGCCAAGGGAAATGCCATCAGTGATAAGTTGGTTAGTGCCATAGGAGCCAACGCACTCTTAATGCTACCAAAAAAAGAAGATGGAAAGATAGAACCTAAATCATTTAGACAAGCCTTACTTATCAAAATTCCCAACATCAAATACTATAGCACGGATCTTAACAAAAAGGTCATTGAAAAAGGTCAAAAACGTACAGCTTGTTTGAAATATTCAAATTGTTAATTTTTTGACAAAATAGCTGTTGGATAGTATTTTATTTGAATCTAACATAAAATCATTTCATTTGACTTCTCTTTAATGTCTTATTTTTTATCTTTTGTTCTTTCTTTTTTCTTCAAAAACAAGATAATAAAGTAATATTCTATGAAATATTATAAGTATGTTAAAATTATTTTATTATTATTTATATAACATTTAAAAATATATATGTATATAATCCTAGCTATAATTCGCATGTAGTTATATACACATGTAGGCATATACACAAAATTTATAAATATATAGTGGTCTGCAAACGTGCTAATTAGACTTTCCTTGCAGATATCTAATTTAATACTGACGTATTTATTATTAAAAGACAGTAATTAATTACTTATTTGGAGTACTAAAAATATTGAACAACAGTGCTTTTAATACTTAAAATAAATAATTATTGTCTTTCAATATTAAATTGGTCAATATTATATTTCTGTAGAGTGACTACACTATTGTTTTCTGTCATAAATCATTTAAATCTTTAAACACATTTAGCGAACAAAATCTCACAGATACATTGATATAATTTTCATCAATCATGGAGATATTACTATAGATAGCTTATAGTAATAGACCAATTTTTATAACTACCAAATCTGGTAATTGAAGAGTAAGTATTATTAATTACTGATACAATTTAATTCATTGCCGATATATATGAACTTGTCTATATTAAGATTTCTTTCAGAAATAAGCCTGAAAGTAGACGTGTGTTTGCGTTTAATATAATAAAATACATATATTGGCTTTTTTATTTGTATAAAACAAGCACGTCAAAAAACTAAGTAGCTACAAATATTTCAGGAGGGTAACACATTCACGGTCTCCAATTTTGTTCTGTGTTACGTATTGATTGGTGTTACATCTACAGAATATAATTGCATAACAATGCATTACAAATATAACAAAAATTAAAAATTGGAATAATTTAAGTTTAAAAAAATATTCAAAATTTTAAAAAAGCGTCGAGAATATTTTAATAGTATTTCTATGCAAAATATATACTAAGAAAAAACAAGGCGAAGAAGACGGTAATGTCGCAAAACAATTTTTCACTTTCTTTTACTAAATGCGGATAATAAATGGAAATTATAAACCATTTAAATAAAAATTTCCATGCGATTATTAATTATTCTCGATAGATATTTTAATTAGAATGAATTTCATATCGCGTGCATAATTTATTTTTGGCTGTTTGATTTTAACAATTATTGATCAATTAAAAAATCTGAACTTTGAGTAATATATCGTGTTTGATTCAATGACGATATATTACCCAAAACATAGAAGATCTATTAACTCATAAAAATTTCTTTTTTGCTTACCAATCGATGCGCAACAGTGGAGTTAATCAGTTACATAGCTACGATGATTCTGCAACATACGGATAAAAGATTTAAATTAAAGCAGCTCGATTAAAATAATTTCAATACTTCTTGAAAAATTCTTACACAAAATTTTTATTTATTTTTCAATTACATATTTATCAAAATAATTATATATTTTCCAAAGATATTTATAAGAATAAATTTTTTTATAAAATTTTATTCTTACTTTTTTCCTTGTAATTATTTTTAAACACATTGAAATAAAAACAATCTAGATAAATAAAAAAATCAATTAATTTTTCCATAAATAAGAAATAATATTTACCGCAAGATTGTTTCGCCTGCGTCCGATATCTCTCATAGATCTCTCCTCCTCCTCCTCTCAGGCTGTCCAGATCATTAGCTTCATTAGATTCCTCCGATGCGATTTTTTCTATGTCGTTATTTCTGAATCATGGAAATACACGATTCGATTAAAAGAGGAATAGGCAATACTAGAAATAGGCTACTATTCTCTAAAGTCTGAGACACAAGAATAGCAATAGGGAACAAGATGGGAGTCGAAGGCAGTCCTAAGATCTTAAGTCATAGAAAATTGACCTATCACAGTTGATTATTATCCTTACATTCGATCATAATTGGTGGATTTCTTGCGACTAACTGAGACTCTGTGACTATTTGTGATTCCTATTGCAGACCCTGTGAAGAAGACGAATGGCTACTGTTACACCGTGCATTTAGGCCGCGGCCTATACAATAGATGTCTTTGTTTATCCTGTATATTAAACAAAGACATCTATCGTATAGGCCGCGGACTAAGCGCACGGTGTAAACGTAGCCAATGGGCGAGTTCAAGACGGCAAAGCGGCTAGGCATGCTTACCGAGCGATTGAATATGATTGGTTGGATCTATAAGTAACAACCAATTATATTCATTTGCTTGGCGAGCAGGCTAGCCGCTTTGTCAACTTGAACGCGCCTAATGACTATAGGCCTGTTCCACTACTCACAATCAGTGAGAATGACAATAGGCCTGTTCTTTTTGACTGAACTATTTTTGCACCAGTTCATCTTTCTTCCTCTTCTTTCTTCCTGGAGAGAAAAGGAAGAAAGATGAACTGGTGCAACGGTTCAGCTAAAAAGAACAGGCCTAATGGAATCGACGTCGATTCTATCGTCGGTTCTCACTGAGTAACGTTTCATCTTTTTCTGGGATATCTTTCATCTCTCGGATATATAAAGTGCGCTGTATTGAATACATTACAATATATAAATTAATTACACTCACCACTTTCTCTTAGGCTAACCAAGTTGTCAGTTTTGATCACGCCGTACTTTCCGCGCCATTCCTGAAGTTAAAACGCGAAGTTAACGCAGAGTCGAGTCAACTGCAGCCAACCGTTCTAACGGACCGTTCAAAAATTATGCGCTCGAAATTCACATTCGTGATAGAACTTGAGCATGTAAAAGCTCTGTAAAAGCATGTAAAAGCTTCCGCGAAACGTAAAAGCAATCAACACACCACTGCACTCCGTTACTTAACAAATCATTCACTTCATCGCATAATAGACGATTTTTAGCGTATTTCTGGTATAGCAACCAAAACCGCGACTAAAGCTATCTTCGTTTTCAGGGATCGGAAG